ATGAGTGAGTTATGGCTAAAGTTTATTGAATCCAAGTATGTGTTAGGCGTTGTAGAAAAGCTTTTCATTTGTGGTCTCACTTAATTTAGTTTTCTCATAGATACAACTATTATCAGAAAATGGAGGCTTGGACAGCTAAAGAAACTCTTCTCAACGCTTAGGGCTCGTGGAGCTCCTGAGCCCAGAGCCACACCCACTTCGCTGGTCCACAGAGGGTGCAAATTGGGAGTCCATCTGCCAGATCTAGGCTAATGTGTTTTCTTGTTGGCCCACAATATTTAAAAACAACTTGACCTGTTTCCAACATTTTAAAATGGAGAGATTTCATGTAAATATCCAGATTTTCTGCCCTTTTTTTTTTTTTTTTTGGTCCAGAACACATGGAAAAGAATTGCACTGATTAGCTGGAGTTCCTGGGGTTTGCCAGAGTCCCCACTTCTTCTTTCTACCCTCCATTATATGCTTCCCCCAGTTGTGTCACCAGCTTGGCTTCGAAAGGTGTTTGAGTTCATGATTGCTGCTCTCTGTTTTACAGTAAAGTGGTTAAGGGCACGGCCTCCAAAGAGAGAGTGCCTGTTTGCCTCCTGGGTTTGCTCTATGACCTTGGCCCCAGAGAAGTATCTTTATTTGTACATAGAGATAACAATACCTACCTCACAGGCATGATAAGAGGCTTCAATTAGTTAATACATGTAAAGCACTTAAAACAGTGCATGGTGAGTGCCATATAACTGGTAGCTGTTGTTACTGTGACTTTTTGCTCCTTTATAAAACAGTATCCTTTGGGATTAGTCCTGGTGGACTCTATTTAAAATATCTGTCAAGTGATCCATATTTATAAAGCTGTCAGAGAGGCATTACAATGTGGTTAGAAACGCTTCAGCTTCTTCCTATTTAAAATGAGGATAATAGGATGCACCTCCCAGGTTTTATGAGGATTTCACAAGAAAATAATTATTAAAGTGTCCAGTACAGGGATGGACATCCTAAGACTCACATGGTTAGTTCCCCATTAGTTCTCCCCATTTCAGCCTAGGTCGGCATCCTCAACCATGGCACTATTAACATTTTGGGCTGATCCTGTGTTGTGGGGGGCTGGCCTGTGCGTTGTAGGATATTTAGCAGCACCCCTGGCCTCTACCCACTAGATGCTAGTAGTACCCTGTCCTCCAGATGTGACAACTAAAAATGTCTCCAGACTTTGCCAAGGGTCCCTGGGGGACAAATTTACTGCCAGTTGAGAGCCACTGTTTGAGGTCTTGCTCACAAGCACATGGCACAGTTGCTGCCTCTACTAAGCCACGTGAGTGTGTCAAAAGCACACGTCTCGTGTATTGTAGAGCACTTACTACTTGGCAGCCATTGCGCCAGGCGGTGAGTTCAAGGTGAACTCATTAGTAAGCCTTCTGTGGTAGGAGCCCTTCAGGAGGTTTGCTTATATCCGACGCACGTCATCTCTGCAAGCCACTTCTTTACTGTGGGATCATAAGGATCTGGGTTTGAATCCTGATTCTCTTCCTCACTCGCTGTGGGATCTCGGCAGAGTTAATTGACCTCTTTGACCTCTTTCCCTCATTTGAAAAGCAGAGGTAACCGTACCTATTGCATAGGCTGTTGAGAGCATTGAATGAGATGATGCAAAGAGTAAAAAGCTTAGCACAGCGTGCCCCACAGAGAGAGCCCTGCGGACGAGAGCCACAGGTATCAGTACAAAGCATGGCTTTGGGGCTCCGTGATGAATAAAACACAATTCCATCATTGACCTTCTTCTAGCTTTGCTCACTTAATACTTTTTCCAAGTGACTCTCCAATATTTGGCAAATATTTTTGGCTTTTGTTTTTAAGTTACGGGAAAGACACCTGCGTCTGTTTTCTCTACAGTAGTCCTTGTGTTTCCATACTGTCCTCTTCTAAACAGATTCCTGTGTCATTGGCGACCATCCCAAAATACAGATCAAGAACTCAACTTTCTGCATGACTGCCTATCCCAACTTGACAATGGTTAACTTCACCAGCCAGGCCAATAAGACATTTGTCAGCGGGAGTGAAGAGTATTTCAAGTAAGATGGCTTTTTAAAAAAGTTTTTAACTGTCTAAGATAAATCCAGTGAATTAATAATGAACATTCAACTTGCAGACCGGAGGTGTGGGTGGCCCGAAGGGTATGTTGCCTCCCTCCCTACTTACTCGAGTGATCAGGGAGGGAGATTTTCTCCCTGGTTTGGTTTCTGAGGGCAGGTTGTTGTGCCTCTGGGTCTGCAGAGGAGAGCTGGCCGAACGCTGGTGGGAACAGAACCCATGATGCTGTAATTCATGATGTCGATGACAAAAACATTACAAAACTTTGATCCAGTGTGATCTAAGCAGCTGACTAGTTTGTCTTTTTGTTTTGTTTTCCTTCTGCACTTGTGAAGGGAAGAGAAGCAAAAAGTCAAAAGACAAGTCATGGTCAAAGATTGAAAGAACTAATTCATTTTTTAAAAAACACTTTTACCTTGGTTTTGTACTTTCTACATCTGTATTGCCAGACATTGATGATGGATCTTCAGGGACATCAACCCTCAGCCACTGCAGGACAATTTAGTAAAGTTCATGGAATTATTTGTTAAGGCAGACAAATGTATGCTGAGTCCAACAGAGGGTAAATAAAGAATGTTCTCTAGTTAAGCCTTAAGTTGGGGGTTGTCAACTCAGATGTGCTCAGGGACTTGGCAGGGAGGTTTGCCTGCTTGCCAGGCAAATGAGTGAAGTGCCAATGATTAGGGCGATAGAGAATGGTGGGGACTGTGGAGAACTGGAGAGGATGGCTGCCATGTGTGAGGGAGGCTCCTAGTGCTCAGCTCCAGCTGGTCACTGTTTCTGGGAATGTGGGCCATGCAGCCAGAGCTCCAAATCCAAATGTTCATGTGTCTTTCCCACTTTAACTGCTAGCAGGCTAATTCAAATAAAACTGTGGGGGCCAAATAAAATACATCTGTCAGTGGGGCCCCAGTATGTGGCTTGTACTTAGATAATAACAAATGGTCACTAATCGCCCTACTGGTTCTCCCAATTCCCATTCATTCCTGTGTCAGGTTTCTCACCTGTCTAGACTCAGAGGGCACATGGTTGTCACCTGCAGCACAGAAGGGGGGAGTTAAGCTGAAGGATGAAATAGTCCCTTTTGAAGATGACATAGGAGCAGGGAGGGTCCGCATGGAGTCCCTCTGAGCACTGAGAAACTGAGTCTGACCTGGTAGTTAGATGAAGTCTGATCACATAAACCATGTTGCAAAACGATTTGTGAATCTGCTTTTTGTGGTCTAGGCCCAGTCTTAGTTCCCAAGGGGAAATGTTATTAGGAGCTTCTTGGGACTCATCCAAGATCCCTTAAGAATGGAGTATTTGAGATGGCCAAGTGATGTGGAACTTGACTAAGGGGCTTACCCATTTGGGGATAGAGACATGGGTTAGGTCATTTTCATTGCTTGGGAAATATGGTCCCTAAGGTTTGGGAGCCCAGGTCACTTCCACCCTTGGTCACTTCTTCTCAGCTCTTGAATCCAGGTTGCCTCAGGGATTGAGACTGAAAGAGGCTCTGTCACCACAGAGCATGGCCCATCCTTGTTCTGAAAAATGTGGCTGTGCCTTGCAAAACAGCCTCTCAGGTTGTCACTCGCTAGCTGTCTGGAGGGGCGTGGTGACGCTGCCTTCAGTCTTCCGTGGGTCAGAATGTGCTGGGCCATCATTTCTGCAGTCCTGTAGCGTCTGGGTTCTGGCTGGCCCATGGCTCATGTTACAGAAAACCACCAGCCTACAAACATAGCACTTTCACCCAGAATGCATGACTTGGTTGTTGCAGAATTGAAGGGCTTATCCAATTCTTATCAAAACTCTCTGTCTGTACAACTTCCTCCTGTCCTCCTTGCCCACGTTCCTCCCAGGCTACAAGTCATCGCTACAAGTCATCACTGCCAGGCATGTGGGGGTCACCGGGCAGGCCATGACTTCTCCAGCATATACACGGATTGTCAGCAGCAGCTACAGATAACCAGCAGCCCCCTTCTGTTAGCAGCTGGTGTCTGTCTTTCAATATGGTCCTAGAATAAGGTCCAGCCAGGCTGCTTACACGTTTCAGCCAACCGCAGCCTTGGGACATGCCCAATGCCCCTTGAACCAAATAGCAGAGCAGCATTTTCAGTCATTTCACATAATGGCCTTGTACTGATTTTCAGAAATTTGAAATTACTAATCAGGTCCCTGATGGGGAGGGTGGGGTTGCTGGAATTTGTTCAAGGCTGCACGCTCTGCTTGGAGATTAACACCTGCAGATGGTCACCTCCTTCCCTCCTCTCTCTCTCTCTCTCTCTCTCTCTCAGGTACTTTGTGCTGAAGATCTCTGCTGGGATTGAATATCCTGGAGAGATCAGGTGGCCGCTAGCCTTCTGCCTCTTCCTGGCTTGGGTGATTGTGTATGCGTCTCTGGCGAAGGGAATCAAGTCTTCAGGAAAAGTAAGAACTTGGACTTACCAAAGAGAAAGCTCTGGGACGCCCGGGGTGGTTGTGTCATGAGAAGGAATGCTGGGAAGAGGTGAGACGCAGGCGCAGTTCTGATGCTGGCCTTGCAGCTGCTGAGCCTTGGCACGTGACTTTGCTCCCATCAGTAAAATGGGACGATAACACCTGTGTTTCAGGGCTGTTTGAAGGATTAAATGAAGCCAATGGACACAGAGCTCCTGCTGTATGGTGGGGATGCTGTGATTAGCTTTCTTCCACTTGGTTCAGCAGATGGGACCTCCCTGATAGGACTCAGTCACCCCCCCACTGAACTCTAGAATTTGTGCCGCTGGCTGGCGTTTTGCCTCTTGTTCTGGCTGCCAGGTCATTTATTGCTGCTGCCAAGAGGCTGGAAAAAGACCCAAACTGTGAAGTGGGTCCCTCCCTCCTCCTCATTCCCGACCACCATTTCTCAGTCTTTCATGTCCTTTTTCCCACCCTCAGCCCAACACTCTTCCACCCCACGCGCCCCCAACACTGAAGGTGACAGTCCTGCCAGTGGGATCTTGGTTGAGCAAATACTTGGCGACTCTTGCTGAGCAATAGCTTAGCTGACCCTTTGCGATGATGGAACTCCCACCCCAAGCTCAGGTCCAAAGCCTGCAGGCAAGGAGTCCAGGAAACCTCAGGACACATGTGGGCGCTGCCGTAAGGGTCGCAATGTTTTTATTTATGTGTGTGATGTTTTAGGATGGTGTTACAGCCTGTTCTTTCCTTTGGTTTAACATTTAATCCTTGGTGCTCGGTAGTATGGGCTTTCTGCAATGGGACTTTCTGAGCAGCCCTGAGCAGGTAAGTTTTTCTTTTAGATCTACTTAGAGCTAACTTATCTCTGCTTCATTGAGAAAGGTTGCTAACTAGGGATTGATGTTCAATTTTTTTTTTAAATGAGGAATACCACCATAAATAATGATGCTGCCCTGGAGTGCAGATGTTAATCATGGAGCATTGTTTGGAAGCCGGGGTGAAGGCGCTGGCTGGAGCTCCTTATCTGAAGGGCTTCCTTGTGATTGAAATTCCATGAATACTATCACGTCTCAGCAGCAAGATAAGCTCAGCTCCTGTTGCTCAGGGCCCAAGGAGACCAGGATGGCCCCTGTCTTCCTATGAGACCTCCATCGCCCTTGGAGCAGCTAGAATTCCAGAAGCAGGGGTGACAAGGAGGCAGCCTGAAGGTCAAATGCAGCCCACCTGACCTCAGGGACTGCTCTGCCTGGGAGCTTTGGCAACAACACAAAGCTAACCTAATTAGCTAGCACGGGCTGGTGAGGCCTTACCTTACCACCTGTTCAGGGCTCCCACCGTGAGGAGAATGTGGCCAGGTGTCAGGCCAGCAGGCGCAGATCAACTAGTTATTGTCACTCCTGCCAAGTGTAATTCATTACTGTTCAGGTTTAATCCCTCTGACAGTACATTCGGAAACAGGTGCACGCTGAAGCCTCCCCGCCCCCGCCCACCAACACGGGAACTAGCTGGCACACAGCCTCCATTTACACCTGACTCAGATTTGAGGCATTGCCCAGGATTTATGAACCAAAGGTGCCCCTTTCAGTTCAGCAGGATCACCATCTACAAAGCAGAGGCACCATCCCCCACACAGGGCCAGGACCTGGGTGAGGTAAGCAAGTACCTAAGGTGTGAGACAAGGCAGTGTCAAGCCTCAGGTTCCTGCACGCGCCAGGTTGGACCCCGAGAGCGGGTGCCTCCTTACGCTGTCCCCTCAGTGAGTCACTTGCCTCTTCCTGGTCCTGCCTCACTCATTTCCGATAATGTGGCCCATAGAGGGCCGTTAATGGAAAGAACAACGGCCTTGGAGTTAGAGAGCATCAGCTTGGGAACCTGGCTCCTGCTGTGAGACCTTGAGTGAGATCTGTAAGCCCTTGTGAGACCCAGCCTGAGGCTCTGTTTCCTCCTGTGCAAATGGGACTGTTAACACCTGATCCACAGAGGGAGCTCCTCAGTGGTCATGTCTGGACAGTCTCCAGCGGGCAAACGGGAAGGGCCGTCTCAGCGGGTCAGGCTTGTACCAGTCTTGGGGTGTTCTTCCTGCAAGTCCTCTCCCTTGCCTCCTTCTATCCTCACTTCCAACCAGCCCCATGTGGTCAGGAGGGAGGAAGATATTCCGTAGTTGTCACCCTGTTCCTACTGCCCTGGTGAGGTGGGGAAGTCAGACTGGTTCCCGCCAGGGGAGGCCGTGACCCTCCCTTGCAGCTTCTCCTGTCTAGCCCCAGCCCCACGGGGTAGCTGGGAGGACAGCCTGGGCCATCCCGAGCTGGGTGGTTTTCTTCTGAGATGTCAGATGCCTTTGGGTTTCCTAACATCTGTGCATGGACGGACTTCACTTAAGGGGAAGAAGGACAGAAGCAGGTTGGCAAGAACAGGAGGGAGCAGGCTCCCCCCGTCCCCCGAGTCCCGTCAGAGCTTCAGAGTGCTGGGAGGCGGGTGGAGCGGGGAAGAGGCCCCCTGGTCAGTGGAGCAGGTAGCAGTGCAGAGAAAAGGAGGCCAGCCCTTCCCTGGTCTGCAGCCAGAACGGAAGAGCTCGCCCTTGACGAGAAACGGGGCTTAGAGGAAGACCTCTGCATCTTTCCGTAACCTGCAGCAGGCGCCATTTCAGCTGATGGCAACGCCGCCCGTTCAGTGGCTGAGGCCAAAACCTTCGGGGTCCTCCTTGCCTCTTCCCTACCCTCCATTCCACATTAAATCGGTCAGGAAATTCTGTTGGCTCTTCCTGCAAAATATACCCCGTGTCTGACCATTTGCCCCAGCTCCGGTGAAGCGGCCTGGTACGGCCATCACTGTCCCTAGCCAGCATGGCAGCCATGGCCTCCTACTAGCGGCTCCTGCGTCTCCCCTTGAGCCGCCGCGTATACTCGCAACATGGCACCCGGTTCAGCTCAAAGGCTCCGTCAGGCCCTCCTCTGCCCGAATTCCGGCAGCAGCTCCGGTTTCCCCCAGAGCTCCACAGGCCCTGTCCCCTGCCCCACCTCCTCCCCTCTCGGTGCTCCACGCCAGCCTCACTGGCCTCCTTGCTGTTTCCAGAAGTCAGGCACAGTCCCTCCCTAGGGCCTTCCTCCAGCTGTTCCCTCTGTCTGGAATGTTCTCCCAGATTCCCAGTTGGCTCACTCTCACTTCCTTCAAGCCCTGGCCAACTCCTCAAGGAGGCCTTCCCTGTCTGCCAGTTTCACTCCGGCCATCTTCCCAGCGTCCTCCCTATCACTCCCCAACCCCTTTACTCTGATCTACTTTCTTTTTTCTACTCATCCCTTCTAGTATGCCACGAATATTATTATTACAATCACTACTGGTTGTCTATCTTTCTAGCTATTTGAGGGCAGGGGTCTTTGACATGTCTATTGATAAACCCAAAATGCTTAATGAAATAACCCCAAGAGTTATATAGTACTCTCCACCCTAACCTTCCCCCGACCTACCCCCTGCAAGTCCCCAGATCAGTCCTCAGCCCCCGGAATCCCAGGCCTGCTGGTCACTGCCATCCTGGAGCCCCCTTGACAGGCTCTGGAGTCTGTGCAGCCAGTGGGGCGGGGTCTCTGTCTCCCCCATCCCCCCAGGAGGCAGGTGTCTCAGGTGCCTGGGGATGGAAGACTGCAGGTGGGACGGGCACGTCCCTAAACCAACAGTGCTCGCCCAGCTGGCTATACATGCCCCCCCATGAAGCAGAGAGGATTTGGTGGCCCCGGGATGTGGGCTTAACCTCATCCTACCTAATGTCTTTTAATTCACTTTTGCAATGCAATCGGCTTGCGAGCCTAAGGTTGCCAGTGTTATTAAATTTAGGACTGGTGAATCCTAGGTAAGACTGAAGTGGCACTTCTGTTTCCAGTGCCCCTCAGGTCTGTACCACGCTGCGTGGGTTGTCCCATTGTACTCTTCCTGCAGCCCTGTGAGGGATATGTTGTTGCTATTGCCACTTTGCAGGTGTGGAAATAGACTCAGAAGGTTAAGTCACTTCCCAAGGTGGCCCAGATAGTAAGTGATGGAGCCGGGATTTGAACTGAGGCCCGTGGCACTGTAGAGCCTGAACTCTCACAGTCTGCTCTCCTCTCCATCTACCAACTCCTGATCCCAAGCCCTTCCATCACTCCCAGGTTTGATTGACAGATAAAGAAGGAAAGTATCTCCCACCCATCCCCATCCAACCACAGTCCCCAAGTTCTGCTGATGTTACTTTCCAGATGTTCCTGGACGCTGGTCCCAACCTCTTGTCCAGAATCCAGGGGCATCCTTTGGGTGGCATTCAAGGCCTCCTGCCATGTCTCCAATGCCCCTCCCTCTCTCTTAGACTCAAATTGATTCTATCCTAACAGTGAGTGATTAGAGCTTTGTCTTCACACACCTGCTTACCCACGTTCTTCCTTCGCCTTCCCACCTTGCCTCACCTCCTTCAGTTGCACTTGGCATCTACGATCCAGCTCACTTGTCATCTCCCTGAGTCCTTTAGTTTACTCCCAGGTTGACACAGTGCCTTCCCCTGGACTTCGGGGTGTCCTGTGTGTCAGACACTGTCTCTGGGTCTTCTAGGTCATGAGTCCCTTCATCTTTACGCATCTCATGTCTGGCACAGGACCCAGTTCATGGTAGGCCCTCGGTAAATGCTTGTTGAACTTAACTGTATTTAATGACCATCTATTATAAACCAGGCACTGTGCTAAGGGGTTCATTTAATCCTCACAATTATTTATTTTTAAGCAAGGTGCTATTGTCCCCATTTACAGATGCAAAAACTGAGATTCAGGGAGCTTAGCAGCTTGTTCAAGTTCTCAGAGCTACTCAGTGCCAGAGGTGCAATGTCATTTAAACCTAAATGTGTGTAATTTGAAGACCAGGGTCTTTTTAGCTCACTGGGCCGCCTCACTTAAGATGTCTATATAAACAAGGTGGAAGGCTTCAGCTAAAAGGATTCATCTCTAATGGTGGAATTTGGGACCTCAAGCAGAGGGTGGGGTAGGGGTTAAGGATGAGGGAGGCACGCAGCCTTCCTCCCTCAGTGGTTCCTGGGGGAGTTGTCCATTCAGCAGCTGGGTGGGCTAAGCTCTCCCCTCGCCACTCACCCCCAGCCTTGGGTGTCCTCCCATAGACCTTAGTTTTGGCTCTCTCTGACTTACCTTTCGTCCCAGTGCCTTCTCCGTGTCCCCAGCCCTGGCAGAGTTTGGGGAATACTACCTGGATGCCCTCAGCATCAGGCGCTTGTTTCCAGGTGGCAGACCCACCCTGCCTCTGTTGAGGCTCCTTTGGCATGATTGGCAGGTGTGCTCAATCCGGTCTTTCTGTTGAATGGCTTTTCCAGGTGGTATACTTCACGGCCACGTTCCCATACGTCGTGCTCGTGATCCTCCTCATCCGAGGAGTCACCCTGCCTGGAGCTGGTGCTGGGATTTGGTACTTCATCACACCTAAGTGGGAGAAACTCACGGATGCCACGGTAAGCTTGTGGTTTCGCTTACGAAATGTCTGTGGGGGGAATGGCACCTGGGGCTGGGCCCCGAGCTGGGACATTGACAGAAGGGGTCCAGCCTCCCGCCACAGGGCATCCCACTGTCCCCTTTTACAAGGTCCTGATCATCTTGGAGCGTGACGCACTCAGGAAATCTTTCATGACAAATGGTCAGCTGGGGTTTTTCAGTTTCCTGGAATAGTTGTCCTACATCTAGGGTAGCAGCGGAGGCCGAAATGAAGAATGAAATCCCATGAATAGCTCTGAGCCACCTCACACCACTTATCTGTTACTAATTATAGTGTGTTGGGAATGGAGTTTTGGTGATCGGAAAATAACAGCGCTTAGGCAAAACACCAGCGATTCTATTTGAAAGAGCGCAGACACATTTGAGCACCGCTGGCACGCCAACACAAGGCCAGCGCACACTGCATTGCCTCTTGGCACAATCTGTACAGGCGTATTTTCCTCTAAAATGCCCGATCCGTTAGGTTTTAACCTCCAAATGAGGGGGTGATTATTTCACACGAAGTGAGTTTTCCCACCTTAAAGAAATATGTTTTTCCAGAATACGATAAGAACACAGAGCTAGGATTGGGTTTGCACATGACAGAAAACCTCCAGATAATGGCAATGTAAACAAGAGAAAAGTTTATTTCACTTGCATGCACTAAAGCAGCCCAATGGGCTGCGTGGCTCCATAGTGCATCCAGGGCCCTAGCTCTTGTCTTTCCGTCCCACCATCTTCAGTGCATCGCTTCCACATGGCTGCGAGAGCTCCAGCCATCGTATCAGCATTCTAGGTAGCACAAAGGGGCGAGGAAGGGGTGGAGATGGGCACCCTCCCTCTCTTTAAAAGTGGGGAAACCCCGGAAGTCCCACATCACACATGATTTTTACATCAGTGTCCAGAAACTAAATCGTATGATTGTCCTCTTCTAGCTGCACGTCTCCTTGAGGCTGGGAGGTGGTCCTTCAGCTGGACGAATGGCTACCTTTAAATAAAACCACAGCTTTGTTATGAAGGCGTACGGGAGAATGGATGTCGGAATAGGCCCAGGTTTTTCTGGCACATGCTTGAACTGTCTCTTTGCATATATATATATTTTTTAACCCATGGCAACCCACTGCCACAGGGGCTGCAGCCTACGCCGTCGCCAGCGACTCCACGGCAGCCCAGCTCCAGGTTGAGCTGTTGTTCACCATCTTAGCTGTGGAGGGCAGTGTCACTGGCCCTCATATGTGGGATCTGAACCGGGGCCCTCTGGTGTCCCAAGCCAGTTCTTAACCATCGTGCCACTCGGCTGGCCCTCTTTGCATATTTTAAGCATACCTTTAAAACCTGTTTTAACTTATAAAAATGATAGGCGGTCCATCATACGAATCAGATAAATCTCTAGCTCAAAAACCTTTGAGAAGCCTTCTGGTGTTTTATGAGGACAAGTGAGAGAAATCACCAACAGAACCAAGAGGTGATGTCAGCCAAGTTCAAGAAGGATGTGGCACCATAAAATCCACTGTACCGTGGTACAGAGGTTGCTTTACTAGGATGAGGGGCTATAGAAGTTTAGACTTTCAATAGCAGTTGTAATCTGTAGGAATGTCAATTTAAAAGGTTTATATTTTGTATCCACGAATATATCTTGCTGTTGCAAAATGTTTATTTTATTATTATTATTTTTTAGCTGAGCCATCCTGCCACCTGTTGGCAGCTCAGCAGCAGCTCAGCTCAGGCCAGGAATCCAACCGGTGACCCTGTTGCTCAGAGCTCACACTCTTGAGCGAGCTTTTAACCAACTGAGCCACTCGGCCAGACCACAGAATGTTTTTTGAGAGTGTATGCAGCAAAAGAAAGGGCTCTCCCCTTCTGTGTAGTCTTACATGGTAGGAAATAGAAGCACGAAATGTGTGTGTAGTTTATTGAGTTCCTCTCCTTTGATCAGAATGGCATTGAAATCTCCCAGGTAATTTATTGCCTTTTTAGCTTCCAGCACAAATGATGTGTGTTTCTCATTCACATTGGTGCAAAAGGCATCTTGTCCCTGACTGTTTCCCCTGGGGAGATGAGGTGGCCCCGGTCCTGGCAGACTCCCCTCCCATAGGCCAGCCTCTTCCAGTGACCTTGACTCCGCCCCTTTTGCCTCCCAGGTGTGGAAAGATGCTGCCACTCAGATTTTCTTCTCTTTATCTGCTGCATGGGGAGGCCTGATCACTCTCTCTTCTTACAACAAATTCCACAACAATTGCTACAGGTATGTGGAGGCACTCCAAGTCCCAGAGGTGGCTGGTGAGTGGGACCTGGGGACAGAACAATGGGCTGAGTCATCAGACACCTGAGGCCACATCCTCACACTTCACCTGAAATAGAACCAGAGTTGGCTCTGGCATAGGTGAAACCCCTGCCGAGGCCCTGCTGCTGGCTTCTGGTGGCCTGGACCCCACCTTGCACTGCTGACTGTGACACATGGGATGGAGCTGAGCAACTAGCTGTGTCCTGGGACAGTCACTTTGTAAGCTACCTAGTCCATGGGTCTAGTCGGATGGTAGTCAGTGATGAAGTATGGTCATTCAGTCACTTGATAAATGTTTTTCTAGAGACCCCCTAAAAGAAAAGAGCACCTTGGCAATGGATGTGGTAATTAACTCAGTGGTGGGGATCTTGTCACAATGTATACATATATCAAATCGTCACGCTGTACACTTCATATTTTTTTTATTTTATTTTTTTATTTTTTTTTAAAGATTTTATTGGGGAATTGGGGGAGGGGAACAGCTAAGTTGTTGTCCTTCAGTCTTAGTTGTGGAGGGAGCAGCTAGCTCAGCTCCCAAGTCCAGTTGCCATCTGGCCTCCTGTCGGCAGCTCACAGCCACTCAGCTCAAGGTGCCATGTTCCATCTTAGTTGCGGGTGGGCATAGCCCACCATCCCATGCGGGAGGCGAACTGGAAGCCTTGTCGTTAGGAGCACGTGCTCTCACCAGCTGAGCCATCCTGCCACCTGTTGGCAGCTCAGCTTGGGCTCAGCTCACTGGCCCCTGTGGGAATTGAACTGGTGACCCTATTTCTCAGAGCTCACGCTCTTAACCAACTGAGCCACTCAGCTGGCCCACATTGTACACTTTAAATAAGATACAATTTTCTTTGTCAGTTATACCTCCATAAAGCTGAAAAAAAAAAAAGCAAACTTTGAGTCTCCTCCCAAACCTATTAATGAGAATGTCTGGAGGTTGGGTGGGCCCAGGAATCTACATATTCAGCTAGGATCCTGAGGTGATTCTGATGATAATGACATTTGGACAGTGTGATATTAGGGAGCTCTGGAACCCCAAAGACCTGAGAGAGCCTGGACAGCTCCTGGAGGAGATGATATCTGAATGTTAAATTTGTCTGACAGGCAATAGGAGAATAAGGCCCATTCTCTTGGGGGGCTGATAGAAAGGAAGGAAGGAGGGAGGAAGGAAGGAAGGAAGGAAAAGGAAGGAAGGAAGGAGGGAGGGGTGGAAGGGATTACTTTTGAGTTGTGACTTCACCATTTACTAACACTTCAAGATGTGGGCAAGATACTTCCCTTCTCTGAGACTGTTTCCTCATCTATAAAATTCAGATTATAATATTTTGTTGAGAGGTAAGAGATGACGTATGCAAAGTGGTAAGATAAACTATTTTGCACATAATAGGTGCTCAATAAACAGCAGTTGCCATTATTATTTTTATTATTATTATATGAGATATTTTGTGAAACAAGAGGAAAAGATTATAATTAAGCTGTGGCCTGGGTTGGCTAGCATCACCTCACAAAAGTGAGCTCTATACCAAATTTCAATGGGTGCAGGGGAGGAGGGAAGGCTTTCAGGTGGCAGAAACAGCTGGAGGGACCGCGTGGGATAGGAACGTGGGGCAGGAGCAGGTTAGTGGGATGAGAGCAGGTGTGCGCACATGGGGCTGGAGACACCCTTTCATTAGTTAGCTAGAGTTGCCATAACAAATACCGCAGAATGGGTGACTTAAACAACAGACTTTTCTAAGTTCTGGCGGCTAGAAGTCCAAGATCAAGGTGTCAGCAGGGTTGATTTCTTTGAGGCCTCTCACCTTGGCTGGTAGATGTCTGTCTTCTCCCTGTGTCTACCCTCTATACGTGTATCTGTGTCCTAATCGCCTCTTTTTATAAGGGCACCAGTCATATTGGACTAGGGCCCACCCTAATGACTTCCTTTTAACTTAATTAGCTGTTTAAGGACCCTATCTCCAAATACAGTCACATCCTGAGGAGCTGGGGGTTAGGATGTCAACATATGAATTTCAGGGGCACACAGTTCAGCCCATGACAGCTGGAATGCCAGACGAAGGTCTTTGAACTGCTTTGGTCACTGCTGCTCATTAACTGATGACCCAAGAATCAGGCCGAACACCATCAAAGGGGCGGACATTGCTCTGCGCTTTGTTAGAAATGAGGCTGTGTGGCGTGGCAGAAAGGACACAGGCCTGAGAGGCAGAGAATCTGAACTGAAATTGTCACCTGCCGTTAATCAGTCCATTACCTTCCCCTGGGCCTCAGTTGCCTCACCAGTAAACTAAGGGTCCAGACAAGGCGGGTTGTTTCCTGAGCACTTGCTCTGTGCCGGGCCCTGTGCTGTGCAGGTACCATCTCCATCCTCGCAGTCCTCATGACTGCGAGGGAGGCAGGGTCACTGCCACTACTTAAAACCAGAGCGGAAAGAAAGCAACTAGCTCAAGGTCATGCCCCGCTAACACGTAGGAGAATCAGGATTTGAATTTGGCGCTGAGGCTCCATCTAGCTGACTTTTCTTGATCTAGGATGGCTGGACAGGGTAGGCTGGGGAGCTGCAGCTTGTGGCCAACAGAGGGCAGTTGGATGAAGGCAGAGCGCTGGCCTCTCTCTCCTTTTTTACCCCTTGCTCTTCTCAGCCTGGGGGTCCCAACCCCAGGCTGTCCTCCTACCTTGGTGGCATTTCATGGCCCCACAGCCTTCCCTTCTCTCATCCATGATTCCTGTCCCCAAAAGGCCCCATCCTTTCAAGCTTTGATGTGATGAACAGACTTGCCTCTGCCACTGCAATAAGGGGAGACCTGGTTCTATAGCACGTGGAGCCAGAGGCCCTGGAACAGGGTGGCTTGGGAGACCTGTTTGAGCCATTTGGTGCTTATAAATTCAGCCTAAGGGAGACTGTGGTCAGGGCTGGTTGCTCCCTTCCTTTTGAATCAGAGAAAACAAAGCCAACCTGCAGTGGACGTGTGTTTAGAAATGGCATGTACCCACGTGCACACATTGTGTGCCATTCCCCTTGTCCCTTCCTACTCACCAAGCATACCTAACAGCCGACTCTCATCTCTTCCTTTAGGGACACCCTAATTGTCACCTGCACCAACAGTGCCACGAGCATCTTTGCCGGCTTTGTCATCTTCTCAGTGATTGGCTTCATGGCCAATGAACGCAAGGTCAACATTGAGAACGTGGCAGATCAAGGTACAGTGTTGTCACTCTGCTGTTGCAGGGCGAGTTCCAGGCTCACCTCACGAGATCCTCATTTATGCTCTGCTGGGAAGTTAGCCTCTGGAACAGGAGGGAGGGTAGGGCAGCCTGGGTTCCCCTCTGCGGAGATATCCTCAGCAGAAGCTCATGCAGGGTTAGGGCTGGTCAGTCCCTAGCCACTGGCCTCGCTATACAGGCCCATGTCCTGCTTTTCTCTCTCCTGGCTTCATTTTCCCTTTCCCCCTTCACTCAGCTCCAGCCTAAGTCAGGCCTACCTTGTTCCTCCTGTTAGGTGTGGGTGGAGGAGTTAGCAGGCACACCGCTGTCCCTGGAGCTGAGGTGGGCACAGCCTGCTGTAGGATGGCGCTGCTTGCAGGGGACTCTGTAGAAACCCAGCACTAACGCTTCATGGGAGCATTAACTTCAGAGCAGCCTTTTCCTGACAAAGCACTTCCCTGACTGTTAGGTCAAATGTGCTGTCAGGGCTTTCTGCTTAGTTAGCAAGGCAGACCTGCAGTTTGTTTTTTCCCCCGCTGTGGTGGAAAGGTTGGATGGTGGCAGTCAGGGGGATGTAGAATAAATGTTTATTCTCTACCCAAGTCATCACTAGATTCATGGCTAAGGTTTGTGTGGTATTTCCGAGTTTACAGAGAGCTTTCGTTTTTCTCATTTAATCCGTATTTCTAGCACAGTGTTTTGCAAAGAGAGTGTTTAATATTTTTATGTAACTCGTTATTTCCACCCGGCATTGTCCGACAAAGGATTTGGGTGTTTGGTAGATTTTCTGGGATTCACGGATTTCACTGTGGCTACTGCCTATCATTATTATTCTCTAATTAGATATTTAGGGGATGACTCAGTGTAGGGACCATGCCAGGGGCTGTGGGGACGTGACTGTGGGCCCTTGACAATCCAGAGTGTGTACCTGTGAGTGGCTTTTCTGTGTGGTTACCTTTCTTCAAGCTCACTGCAATTCTCAGATAATAGCTCAGATACAAGCACTGAGAAAACGAAGCCCTAGAAATGTCATCTTCTTGGTGGGCTGCTGGGTCTCTCCTGGTTTCCCAAGGATAATTAATTACTGCTTCAGTGGTGCTGAGGGTGCACTGCTGGCCCCAAAGAGTTAAAGAGCCACACACACTCCAGGGGGGTAATTATGTCTCCCTGGAGAGTGTGAAACCCGGGGATGCTTGGCTCTGCACAGTGCACTAAATTAGAGGCGCTGAGCCAATGGTTCTACCCACTGAAAATTCTCAGCCCCCTGGGGAGCATGGAGGGAAAGAGAGAGGGGAGAGAAGGCTTTGTCTTCAGGGGTGCCTGTGCCACCCCATGTCTCCCTCTTTTCCTCCCAGCAGAGTAGCTGGAGTAGGTAGGTCCTGCCCCACTTCCTAGCAGATCTGAGCTGTTATTTTTGTGACATGACCGAGCTCGTTGTGAACCAGTGGCCGAGTTGCCAGAGTGATTCATGAGACACGGGGCACATTGGTTAATGCTTCTGAGCGTCTGAGCTCTTTCCTGCCCCCAGGTGAGGGATTTGGGGGGCACATGCTATTAAAGCCCAAATGGAATTTGGTTTTTCCTTTATATAGAAAGCATCTGACAATTGCCTGTGTTTCTCTCGGAAACGTTCCCTTTCCAGATTTTCACTTCCTCTGATTTTAACGGGGAGAAGAGCACTTCTACCAGGTTCTAAGGTGTTGTGTTACTAACTGATAGTTTCTCACTGTCACCAACACAGGGACAGTGGGCTGCATTCCCGGCCGGGGAGGAGGCAGTGGCCCATGAGGCCTTCTCCCCGACCCAGTGGGGTGGCTAGCCTTGTTCATCTGAATTTACATGCATTCTTTTATGTGCTTTACATGCTTGTCTGATTTCCCCGGTATAATGGAGGCCTGATGAATATAGAACAGAGATTTGGGGTCAGGCCTGCATTCTAGGCCAGCCCCACTCTCTCCTAGCTGAGAAAGATTGACGTATAGACACATAGTACATTTTTGCTGACTCAACGTTAGTAACTTCAGTTGGGTCTTTAGTTAACAACAGGTTCTCTTTAATGACCTAACAATATTTTATTTTGTTTACTGCTCCCTTCTAAGGGAGGCAATTTTATCACAGTCATTACCCCTAAGCTTGGCCATATTGGAGTTTTGGGGGCCTGAGAGTGGGGTTGGTGATGAGGTCAAGCTGTCCTCGCCTTTTACAATGAGCGTAGGGAAGGGGCATGTTCTTAAGGCATCTACTCCAGAAAAGCATCTTCCGGGATAGTTAACCTTTTAGAATCATCTCCCAGTCACCTGTGTGGCTACCTGTGGAGCAGTGACTCATGGTCAAGTCCAACCTGAAGCCCTACCAAGATACTCATCCAACAGCAGAAAGACTGGGTTAGACCAGAGTAGATGGACACAAATGTGAGAATGGTGTTTAGAGTTCACAGGTCGAGGTGGTACCCGTCAGGTAAGCAGACCACTAGGAAGTGCTGCCTTGGTTCCCTTGCCCCCTAATGGTTCAGAGACCTGTCAGTCAAACTGAACACTCTCAAACAGGCCTGACCGTTCAACCATCTACCTGTCGCCTGGATGCCAGCCCTTCAGCCCAAAGGCACAAGGGTTCCGGCGGCATAGCCTCTGAGAGCTGCTCCATTTGTAATAGGTTTCACAGCCCGGTGGCCGTTCCTGGTGTGCTGTGGGTCTTGACATATTGTGTTGACCAGAGCCCCTGGCTGTGTCTTTAGTGGCTCTCTAGGATGAAGGATGCTGTCGCTGTAGGTCTCTGGGGACCTGTCCAAGTTGCTGGCATTCAGAGCCCCTTCGATCCCCTCTCATGGTCTGTGTGTACTGAGCTCTCACTGTGTCCAGGCATTCTTCTGAGCCCTTTATCAACACATTTAATTCTCACAGAAACTTGGCGAGGGTGGGTACTGTTCCCACCGCTGTGGGATAAGGAAACAGTTTTGTCCAGAGAGAACAAGTCTTACCCAAGGTCTCACAGCTTGTAAGTGGCAGCACCAGCTCTCCAGTCCACGAGGAATGGGTCCTGCGCTCCAGCCACTGGGCTGTACTGCCTACCATTGGGCTAGAGAGAAACAGGACTTGGCCTCTACCAGGCGCGTGGGCCTCATCTGGAGAAAGCTCTGCTGTGGCTCAGACAGTCCATCTTTTGAGAAAACAAACAAACCTGAACTCAACAAAATAATATACAAAATGTATTTTTAAGATCCACTCCCCAGCCACCTTGGACGAACGGAGTTTGCTGAAAATGATGCCGTTATCTGTATACTTTAGGGAGGCAGCTGAAATTGAAGCAGGCCGCATGTTTTGAAATCACTTTCGCCCTGAAAAAGCAGTAAAGCCCAAAGGACTGAATCCTGTTAAAGCGATCAGCCCAGGGCCCCCGGTAGTGGCCGTTTCAACATCTCCAGTCCACTTTATGGGTCCGACTGTTGCGAGAGCGCTGAACTGCCTTCCTCAGTGTTCTGCATTCGAGACCGCTTTTAAACTGTAGTTTAATACAGACTTTTCTTTTATGGTTCACATAGGGAGCCTTCCGAGGCTGGCTCTGCCATCCGCTCAATAAATGCATAAAGCAGGGGGTATCGGAGGCATTTGGGGCTTTTTTCTTTAAATACCCCAAGGCTCGGGGCAACACTGGGAGCAAACACCCTGATAAATTTCAGTTTAAAAGGTGCTCTTGTGCTCAAGTGACAAAAATGCCAGTTGCTGCAATTTCTTGTTTCTAGACATGTGCTGGCTGCCAATTGCCCCAGCATTCACTTGTCTCCGCCCATTCTCGTTTAGTTTTTTCCTTACGAGGAAAGTCATAACTGACAATCATGACTGACAATCTTTAGCCATCTTGAGTTACAGCAATCTTCCCAGTGAGGTCATGAGGCAGATGGGAGTGGCTGGCAGGGCTTCGTGATGACAGAGGAAACAGCAGCTTAGATATCCTCCTTCAAGAGCACATGCAGTAGTCTTTGGAAACCCTGAATCAGAGCTGCTAGCTTCCAAGTTCATTGTCCACTCAGAAGAAAAGCTAATATTCTGCAGGTGTTGATGATGTGTGAGGCATTATTTTCAGTGCTTTGCCTGTGTTTTCTCATCTGTTCCTCAAAGCCACTCTGTGAGGTAACCTATTGGTATCCCCATTGAACAGATGGGTAAAATTGAGGCTCATGTGTAAATTAAATCACTTGTCTAGGGTTGCACAGCTGGTGAATTGTGGAATTTGAATTTGGACCCATGTCTGTCTGCTTTCTCAGGCCTCACACTATGCTTCATTTCCCCCCTTCCCCAGCTATGGGGATGGACTGATGTAACCCCATGGACTGATGTAGCCCCATCTTTACTAAGCCTTTGTAGGGCAAGATCCTAAAAGCTTTAGATTGATTCATGTTTTATGTAAAAGGCTTCTCCTTGTGGAGTGAATAGGAGGGCGGGTAGTTAGGGGTGGGGGTGAGTAATGATGTCATTCTGGGCATGTTCTAACCTTTAGAGCAGGGGTTCTCAACCTCAGCACTATTGACATCTGGGTGGAATAATTCTTTCTTGTGAGGAATGTCCCATGCTGCTAAGCATCCCTGACCTTAACACACTAGACACCAGAAATCATCCTCTGACCTCCTAGTTGTGAGAATCAAAAATGTCTCCAGACATTACCAAATGTCCCCTGGGGGGCAAAATCACCCCTGGTTGAGAACCACGATTCTAGAGGGTAATTATTATTCTCCCCCCAACTCATCAATACAAAGATGGGTTTGTATTGATGGGACACAATCTAGCCTTGGGATCTGAATCACTGCTTCGGCCCATTTCTGAGCCTTTCCTCTGAAACGAGTTCCCCAAGATGTGGACCTTCCCTTTTAGGAGTTTGAGGTCTAAGTGGGGAGATGAGTGGAGACGAGTAAAAAAATAACAACTGTTGGGAGCAGCGTATACTCAACACCAACTCAGGGTCTCCATGGAGAGAGGACCCTGTGGGCTTCCAGGAAGAGGGGGCCCGGGGCCGGGCCTGTCCGCAATTTGTCTTGTTCGTTCCAGGGCCAGGCATTGCATTTGTGGTGTACCCGGAGGCCTTAACCAGGCTGCCCCTCTCTCCGTTCTGGGCCATCATCTTTTTCCTGATGCTCCTCACTCTTGGACTTGACACTATGGTGAGCCCCTTCCCCTTCCATCCCGGCTCCAGGCTCCTTCTGGGGACCCCCTTCTCCTGGGTCCTGTACGCAGCCTGTAGCAGGAGGTGGGCTTAGCGGTACCTGAACCTTACCCTCGGGCTATATAGGGATGATGAGGTTCCTGTCCAGGGCTCAGGATAACCTTCTATTTGTGGGTGACTCATGTGATGGTGCCAAGCAGCCATCCTTGTCTCCCTTTTTTCCTCTCTCTCCATTCTCCATGCAAGGTTTAGCCTGTGCACGTCCTGCTTCGGTGTCGTTTTGCCCAAGCAAATTCTATGGGGCTGGATAAAGGAAAATAATATGAGTTTTAGGGAAGTGGCTATGGGGCTGAGTCTGCTACAAATCATGCTGACAGGAGCTCAGGGTTAGTAGTTGGGTGTAAAGAGGACTTTTCCTCGAGGAGAAGATGAAAGGCAGGGACACTGGAGGAGAGGATTTTACATCTCATGAATCCAAAGTGAGGCTTCAAATATCCTGATGGGTGAGTGTGAGTGCAGTCTCTGGGGGCTGGAGACAGTTTTTAAAGCTTATAGCCTGTTTGGATTCCCCTAGCTGGCCTTGTGTAGTCCCGTCAAGGGACTACAGTCCTAAAAACCAAACCTAGCACAGATACCACTTTCCCCGGTGGGAACACAGAGGGCATTTTGGAGCCTTCTGGGTTGGGTGGCCTATCTCAGATGCCGCTTTCCTGTATCCATTCCAGTTTGCCACCATCGAGACCATAGTGACCTCCATCTCGGACGAGTTCCCCAAGTACCTGCGCACACACAAGCCGGTCTTTACTCTGGGCTGCTGCATTTGCTTCTTCATCATGGGCTTTCCAATGATCACTCAAGTAAGTTGGGATGGGGGCAGATGGGGGCCTCCTGGCTATTGATCCGTTTACCCTGAGCTATCAGACCTCATAACAACAGCCAAATCACTGCCATTTTTGCACAGATGACACCAGTTCATTGGGGATTCTGGCCACAGAGGGAAATATGTCACCTTGGCTACTAATGATCTTTCCAGGATCTTTATAATTGAGATGTAGCCTTCGTCAGCCAACAAGGCAGCTGTGTCCTACTTTAAGAAAATATAAAAATCCAAATTGACTGACCAGAGAAATTTCTGGTTGATTATTCATTATAAACAAGAGTCTACAGCCACCTGAATTCCTTCTGGCCCTGAGTGTATTGGTCAATTGAGTGTGAGCTCACTCAGTGTACGTATTGCCTTTGCTCTCTCTATGACCTTGGGCCTTAGTTTCTTTATCTGTGAAATGATGGATTGGAATGAGATGGTTTCTCAGCCTCCTCTACTGTAGAGAGACTTAAAGAGTGAGGTAAAGATGCAGGGTGATGCATGAGGAATAAAGACACCTAAAGGTTAAATGAAAGTCAATCAAATGCAGATATGTGAGTCAAAATGGTCATCTAGTTCTTAGAGCAAAAATGAAGCAATCTGACTGCTTTCACATCTTCAGATGTTGACCTTTGCCTTTTAATAGTAAGATGTGCGATGGCTTTCTGTGCTTCTATTGGTTTGCTCAGGGTCTCTCCAGGGACCGCTTCGCTAACACAGCAAGGCCTCCAGCTTACACAAGGGACCAGCTTTAGGCAGGGAGATCCTTTGGCTCCTGTTTACACCCGACTCCCCTCTCCCGTTAGAAGTGGGGGAGAGCCTCGATCCAGGCCCACTGATATTGGTTGTTTCTCTTCCCTTCCTTCTAGGGTGGAATTTACATGTTTCAGCTTGTGGACACGTATGCCGCCTCCTATGCCCTCGTCATCATTGCCATCTTTGAGCTCGTGGGGATCTCCTATGTGTATGGTAAGGGAGCAACCGTGCCTGCTTCTCTGGTCGAACGTAGTGTTGTTACGCAGGTTTTCCATCATATGTAATAAGACAATGAATGGGCTTAATTGCTGCTACTTAGGGAACATAAAAGAGCGGCGCCTTTATCCCCAAGCTTGCTTCAGGACCACTGTGACCCAGATTTCACAGAGAAATGACTTTGACTTCTATTCCTTGGGTTCTGTCCCCTCACATATGCCCAGAGAGTCTAGTGTCCAGAGGCCACTCATTGAAGGTGTTGATGACACTAAAAGAAATACACAAAGACATATCCAGAGATGGTCAGGTCTGCTGCCCAAAGCAGGCACTTTTTGCTGTGGACACAAGGAAGGAACTTGGAGCCTTCCTACTTCATGGATTGACCTCCCTGGAAAGGCCCTCAGAGCTCACTGGGCCCGGTGCCCCCAGGAAACCAGCAAGAGCTCAGAAAGAGGAATGCCATCTCTCAGGTCACACAGTGATTTAGGGGCAGAACAGTGTTCAACTCCTGGGTCCTATCTCCTGGTCCAGAGCTGTTTCCACCCTACAGTGTATGTGGTTGACCCTCGTTAGGATTGCCTAGGAGTAGAACAGGAGGCTCACTGCGACCTGGGAACTGTCAGAGTGAGTTGAGAAAAGCCGTCGGTGACTCCCTGACACTGTTCCCAGCACAGGGCACGGGGCGTGGCTGTTCTCCATGAGGGCTGTTGTCAGTGGGGCCTGGAGACTCAGGGCCATGAAGAGCTGGCTGATGTTCTGGGTCTGGGCTTGCTTGACGTGGAGTAGAAGTAAATGGCAGGAGCTGAGGGCCACTGAAGATCTCAGGACCATTATTCTGTCAGCGGGGGCTAGAGTGGACTTTTTGGGTAAACTTTGCAATCAAAATCTAATATCTATACAAGAAAGAACATGGATCTTGACTACACGTCTCTACAAATTTTCACTCCCGTGTAAGCAGCATCCACATCAACAACTACAATATTACCAGGGCCATTTGTTTTCAGAGGGGCTGAGATGAACTATGCTCTTCCCTGAAGGATTACCACAGCCTCTGCTTTCAACCCCAGTAAGAGGTTGTCTTCTCATGTCACATCACCCTTCCCCACTTTCAGGTAGCAGAGAGCAGGCATTGAGGAAACAGGACCGGGAAGGATAAGGCTGGGCTGAGGTGGGCTGGGGGCACAGGCAGGTGATGGCAGCAGGTACAGGTGGGGCACAGGCAGGTGATGGCAAAGGGTAAGAGGTGGCAAGTGAAGGCTGAAAGAGGGTCCCCCAGAGACTGAATTCCCTGCTCCTCATGGGGCTGAGGACCCAGAAATCCAAGGAGGCTGGGAGAGTGGGAACAGGAGGAGCGAGTGGCCAAGGTCTCAGGGCAGAAGGGCTGAGGACGTGCAGGGCTTGCTCTCCATGGGAAGGCAGAGCGCAAGTGGGAGCAGCTCTGCCCCTCTTGACCTGCGAGGGTGCCCACTTTGCACACAAGTGACCAGAGGAAGCAGGAATGAGGAGCATTCAGCTGAGAGCTGCTGGCTATGAAGGAGCTCGAACTCAGGGACCGTTCATGTCCCTTCAGCGTCGCCATCTCACAGTTCTAGAAAGCCATGCTTCTGATGAACTCAGGAAGCAATGCAAGAAACCGCTGAATTCTAAAACATTCCTCAAGAGCTTTTTCTTTCAAGGAGAGGTTTAAAACTCTTTCCTAAACCAAGAGCGTGTGGGTTTGGTGGTTATGTGGGGGCATGAGACGAGCTATCTGCTCTGAATGTTACCTGAGTTAAGTTAATCAGTGACCAAGAGGACAGCAGCCCTTTGAGTTCCAACAAAGTGGGCGATGGCCACTTGGAATTCCATTGGTTTTTGCCCGCCATTATCATCTTACACAGAGCAAGGGAAAACCGACTCATAGAAGTGTCCTTGGGAGGGTGGAGGACAAAAAAAACAATGTACAGTGACTCTCACTCTAAACCCCAAGGCTTTCATAATACACTGGGATTACAGACCACAGCCTTAACTGCTTTTGCCAGAGTTGTTCTGAGCACATAAGGCCACCTCTCTGAAAACAGCCACGCAGGTAAAGATGCCAGGCTGTGGCAGTGCTGGGTCACACAGGCTGGAACTGAGTTTCTTAGATGTCACCATGGGATGACGTTTTTGAACCTCACTGCAGAGAAGATTTAATATCTATTTAAATGTCTGATTTTTCCTAATAGTACCAGCGGTGAGTCATTTGTCTGCTGGTTTCCTGCATCATAGGGGTCATGTTGACACCAGGCTGGGGCCCTCTCTAGCCAATGCCCCCACCTCACCAGCTGCCGCAGCACCTCATGCTCGGTCTCCACTTGTCTCTTTGCAGGCTTGCAAAGGTTCTGTGAAGATATAGAGATGATGATTGGATTTCAGCCAAACATTTTCTGGAAAGTCTGCTGGGCATTTGTAACCCCAACCATTTTAACTGTAAGGATTGCATGCTTTCTCGTGCAGCTAGCACCTCGCATGTGTATGTGGTGCTTTATGCTTGAACAAGGCATGTGCCTACATATGAGCCTGGGAAGCTGGAATGATGGGTATTGTTACTGCCTTTCAGGTGTGGAACCTGTGGGTCAGAGAGGTGAAGCGACTTGCCTAAAGGTGCTTAGCCAGTTGGGCACCCTTATGCGCCGTTTAGAGTACGCTTATGGAACATTTCCCATTCTATCAGTCTGCTTCATGTACTGATAGCAGAGAACAATCACATTTCCCACTGCCCATCATGGTCCAGGCTCTGTTCAAAGTGATTTATTTATATGTCACCCCATGTCTCCCCCACAGCAGCTCTGGGGGGTTGGCATAAGCATTTCCAATGTGCAGATGAGGAAACAGACACCCAGAGGCTATGTGACTTGCCGAGCATTGCGCACCGAATACCCAGCAACAGCCTGGGTTTGAACCCAGGCAGCCTGGCTCCGGAACTCTTGCTGCTAACCACGACTCAATACAGCCGCTCCACAGCTAATGTAGCGTAAATGAGACTTTTATCGTTCATTTTTATTGCTTCTGAGAACTATTTTGTTATCTTCAAGTATGGTGATGACACTTTTAGGTCATCTGACATTCATCTCCTGAAAGATCAGAGCCCTTCATGTGTCAGTAAATCTGCACAGGGACTTACCTGTGCATCTTGTGGCCTCCTTTGATGTGCCATAGGCTGCAGGCTTTGCCTCAATGCACCCTCCAAGCAGAGTAATTGATGGAGACCTTGCCTTTCCCCATCCTCCTCCCTGGCCTGTGGTGGGTGTCAGCGCCACAAGACTGCAGGAAGTCAGATGTAGTTCTGGCTGGACCCAGCAGGTGGCAGTAGAAACCAGTTTAAAACCCTTAGTCTACGTAACAGTACCAGCTTCGCTAAAGGAACACAAGCCAGGATGGAAGTAAAATTGTAAAGAAAAAATATTTTTCTTTTTGCTCTTTTTTCTTTCTTTCTTTCTTTGTCTTTTACTGTCACAGAATGAGTTTTAATCAAAACGCAAGTTCTTTATGAAAAGACAGAAGTGTAGATAGAAAAACCACTCAGCATTTATCTCCCTCTGCACTGGCCATCACGCCGAGTGAGACCCACACCTGTACTCACATTTTAGCGGCTGTAATTTGTCTGACAAGTCCCACCAGATTTGGGGCATGAGAGTTGAAAAGAAATGAGATAGATTTTCCAGTGTCTTGAATTCAGGACCAAAAAGTGTCTGGAGAACTCAGATTTACCTAATTTGGTGGGAAGAAGTGACACTCTTCCACCTCCGGCGTTTTCCAGCTCTGTGGAGCTTTGCCGTGTCCCCCAGTTAATACTACACGTGATTTATTCTCAGGTGGAATCCAAGTTAGAATCTGCTCTAGATGCTTATGTGCCTTTCCCTCCTGTCTTAGAAGAGGTTAAGCTTCAGGGAATTGGATTATATTCTGTAGAAACATCACATAATAATCAGCACTACTATTCGTGGAGGCCTGGTAAGAGGCGGGCACTTTACGAACGCTGTTGCTAAAGCTTTCGACCTCTCTGCTTGGTGGGCGACTCTATCCCCATTTTGCAGCTGTGTGCACTGATGCTTGGAGAGGCTAAGGTGATAGTCCACGGCCACAAGACTTGCAGGTGACAGAGCTAAGAATTGAATTCAGGGCTGCCTAGGCCTCAAGCCCACCAGAGACCTGTGGAGAGGTCTCAGAAAATATCCCAAACCAGATTTCCCTTCTCTGTTTGGGAGCTAGGGACAAGCAGAAATGGTCCATTCCATCACCATCGCCACTTGTTGAAGTCTCTTTCCAGAACCCTCTTGGTCTGCCATCAGCAAAAGGTCAGGGTGGGCCAGACTCGGTGGCCAAACTATCATCTCTCATGGCCAGGCTAATGTGAGGGCAGCGTTTTATCACAGCTGACTTGGCAAAGGGAAATTTATGGCAAGAACAAGTTTGCACAGATACGTTTGATGTGATATTTGAGCAACTAGAAATGGGTATCAAATGACCAGGCCTCACACTTATTTTTTTGCCATTCTGTAAAATGGATATTTGTAGTGTGCTGAAACGAGCTCAGATTATGGGTTTAAATTACTTCAGAACCCCTGAAATAAAATTGATCATTTTTATATGTGCCTTCGTGGATTTATAGAGCTATAAATATTCTCCATGCAATTATTGTATACATAGTCAGATCACGTTACTGAATTATGCGCACACATAAGCAGATGAATTGCTATTTATATAGTAAATGAAATGGAGCAACTTACCATAAATACATTAGGCCATACTTCCAATAGACTGCCTAATAAAGCTTATAACTCTAGGGGCAAATGTTTAAAAAGGGGCCAAGAGTCAGGCATCTCTTTCCATAAGAGCAGGTTTTTTTCAACAGTTGTCTTCAGGCTCGTGTTCCTTCGAATCAATGCATTGAATTATTATCGCACTGAAATACTCACTTGCCCCAGCAGCCAGGGCTTTGCAGCCATAATATAGATGACTTACATTTGTGTAGTGCTTCACGCTTTTCCAAAACATGTCCATATATTGTTTTTCCTGACATAATTCGCTCCAGTCATTTTCAGGCAGTTATTTTACTGCTTCAGATAGAACAAGAGAAGTGGGGAGGAAGCGAGGACTTATGTCATTATTATTAGGTCCATTATTCTAGGCTGATGCTGCCACAGGCGGGATGAATTCACAGATGAACACAGTTTTCTCAAGGCAATGCCTCCCCAAAGGCTTGGGCAAGAGCAATTAGAACCCCCGTTCTGTTTGGGCACCTCTCTTTTCAGCATGTGTCTTCCCTTGTTCCTTTCAGCTGCACTAGCCCAGACATCAGCAGGGTCTCACTGCTGTTGCTAGCTAGAGAAAGTGTGCAGTGATAGGAGATGGGAGAAAATCAGTCACGACCTCCCTTAAAACTGAGGGGCAATTCTTGAGTAAATACTAGGCTATTGTTCCCAGAAAACTCCTGTGTGGAATACGGGGTGTGAAATATATCCGTTTTACAGCAGAGGACTCTGAGACATAAAGAAGCCCCCTGTTAACTAGTGGTAGAGCCCAGGCTAGCTGTTGACCTCCTGGCTCTCGGCCCACGAATGGGTGACGAGGACTACTCACCTTGAGTCAGTAGAGAGGGGCCTGTGCTTCCATTCCCTTTGTCCCACAGTTGATTACAGGACCAAGCTTCCATCTTTGTCGCTGCTTAGGGATGACTCTAGGACACTCAGCCAGCTTTAGAGGCAGCTCCTGGGCACACATGGAGAAGGAGTAGATTCAATTCATGTTTTAAAAATCAAAGGACAGAAACTTAAGGGATTTCTTTCTTGTAACAAAAGCTGGTTATCCATTATGGAAACTGCAGACAACCCCTTACACACACCCACCATCCCTCGCTCCCACCTCCATCCATCAGTCTCCTGGGTGTAGATCCTCTAAACGTGTCTTCTCAGCCTGTGTGTGTGTGTACACCCACGCGTATGCATTGCTCGGTTCCTGTGAGATGGCAAATGCAGGATCAACAGCCACATGGATGTGGCGTCTTCACCTCTTTGAAATCCAGTTTCTTCATTTGGAAAACGGAGTAATAATACTTCCCTCTCAGGGTCGCTATGGGTGTGAAACGAGATAACAGATATGAAAGCATCAGACCCATAGCAGGGGTTCAATCCATGGCTGTTAAATGAAGGACTACTTCACGGCACCACTCTAACACGTGTGTTTCTCTTTCCTTCCTAGTTTATCCTTTGCTTCAGCTTCTACCAGTGGGAGCCCATGACCTATGGCTCCTATCGCTATCCTAACTGGTCCATGGTGCTCGGATGGCTAATGCTCGCCTGTTCCGTTATCTGGATCCCGATTATGTTTGTGATAAAAATGTATCTGGCTCCTGGCAGATTTATTGAGGTAATTCTGTCAGCTCCTGTCCCCTGCCATCCCCTCCCGAGGGAGAAGCTCTGAGAGCTCTATGCATTAAAAAAACAAAAGATTCGGTAAACTTATTCTAGAGGGAGACTTGGTGATTAAGCGATTACAGTTGCCACTGTTTCTATTAAACCCATTTTTATTATGTATTATTCCTCTAATGGAGGTGCTCAGCCAATCCACAGGCTGAGCTGTTATTATGCTATTCCTCAGTGGTGACGGCTCTAGGGAATAAATGATCAGACTGTCCCCTCTTCCCTGGAGTTTTCTTCTCCTCTCCCCTCACCCACAGTTTAAACCCCAGTGTTCAGTTTTTAACCACACATCAGAGTCCCCCTTTCCTGATGTTCCTCTCTGTTCAAGCCTCCTCCCTCCAAACATCTGTAACCATTCAATTAAAAATCACTACCCCTTCGTGCTGTGCTTGTGTTAGGAATGGCTGAGGGGGTCCAAGCTGCTTAAAATGTCACCATCCTATAGAACATAATGCAATCTCCAGAGCATGGCTGGTATGAGGTGGAACTTGTCTTTCTTTGTCAGTTAATTCCTTGCGGGGCCCATTTCCCATTTCTAATGCAAAAACAAACAAAGCAAAACAAAACAAAAACAAAAACAAAAAAGCAAAACCAGACAAACAAAAACATTCCCAGAGTGGATGGGAAGAGGACTGCCACTTGTTGGGCCACCAGCAAAGTGTGGTCAGGCTTCTGTTACTTATGACAAGTCACTTGCTCAGGCACGCTAGGAATAGATCGGCCCTGCCTCCATCTTGAAGATCCAGACCTGGCGTTTTGGACCAGACTGGTGCTACTCAGAGTTTGGCCCAGGGACCAGCAGCAACAGCACCCCTGGGAGCTCATTGGAAACGCAAATGATGAGACTCTAGCTCGGTTCCCCTAACCACAGTCCTGGGGAATTGGGACCCTGGTGTCTGTAATTTAACAAGCTTCTCAGGTGATTCTAATGCAGTCAACTTTGAGAGGCATTGGGTTTGACCAAGGTGCAGAAACACCTGCTGATAGAGGGCAGTAAAGAGCAGCTGTAGGGGCTTTCCTCTCAGTCAGCCAGATTGAGGGAAAAAAAAGAGAGGTCCCTGGAGTGTCTTGTGAAGGCTTGGGAGGGGAGAAGCGAGACGGGCAGAAAGCACACGAGTAAATGTGTGCCACAGATGCCCACATGCCGGGAGGCAGCCGTTATTTTTCACTGGACTAAAGATGGAGACAGGGTTGGCAAAGGGAGAAGTAAGAATCTTCTTACTGAAGCAGCATTCAGGTTTTCGTCCTCAGGAAGTTCTGTCCATTTGTCCCCTTCGAGGTAGGTAAGTTCTCGTGGCCTCCTTCGTGCCCAGGGACGGCTTGCTTGCGCCCCAGACGAATCTCCCCACCATTGACCCAGAAACCTCTTTCCCTGAACAGAAGCTGGTTTAGCCTCTGCTACTTTTATGTTAGGCTGAAATTCTCTAATCTGAGGAGTTGGCTATATACATTTATTATGGTTGGTTTGGGACACAAAGGTTGCAAACTGATGATTAAGGGGAGATTAAACTAACAGCTATAAGAAGCGGCTTCACTTTAATAGGTAATAAACACATAATTGTTCCCTCTTATGTAGTCAGAAATATGTTTTCTTTCCTCCTTCTAAAAAATGTTTCAGTCAAATTATGTTTTCCGGAAGAAGTTCAGTTGAAGGATTGGAGATAGTCCCATTATTTTTAGCTTGCCTGTGAGAACCCACACTGTTGAACTGAGTCAGAAGCATATATTTTTGTCAACAGATAATTAAATCTTTGCTCACTCTTGGCGATGTATCTTTGGGATTGGGATTTTTTTTTTCTGGCCATTTATATACTTTTGGGAAATATGCTAAACAAAATCCAATTATTTTGATATAGCAACCCACTGTTGAGACCACAGAACAAAAGTAATTGGGCATGCACGTTCTTTGCAAACTGCGTTTGGCCGTGGAGAGAGAATCTTGCCGATTCTCTTCATTTGGAGGGAAAAAGTGTGTAATTAAAATCTGGGTCTTTTTTCCTCTATTAATCTTGTACAAGGCAAACCTCGAGCCATGGTAATATTGCTTGCAGGGTGATGTAAATAATTTCAAGTGAACCAAACTTACTCTCCTCTTTAACGTGTCTGTGGCCCAGTTAATTAATAGGGCCGACTTTCCTAACTGCTCCCCCTGGTGGGGGCTCTGTTGGCTCAAGGGGGAGTTCTGGCAAATGTGATTGACAGTCTGGGGTTGGGTGGGTGGTCCTAGGGGAAGGTGCACGACTTCTGTGACCCTGTGTGTCTTTGGCTTCTTTGCAGAGGCTAAAGTTGGTGTGTTCGCCGCAGCCGGACTGGGGCCCATTCTTAGCTAAGCACCGTGGGGAGCGTTACAAGAACATGATCGACCCCCTGGGAACCTCTTCCCTGGGACTCAAACTGCCAGTGAAGGATGTGGAACTGGGCACCCAGTGCTAGCCTGATGGCATGGGACGGCCAAGGCCCAGACTCCATCCTGGATTTCCTCTCTGCCTCCCCCTGCTGGTTTCCCCAGCTTTCCTCCCATTTTCCTTCGTCCCTCCCACATTTCTGTTCATACCCGTGCATGAGAGTGGTTCCATAGGACATAGTGTCGCATGCTGTAGTGAAGAGCTAGACAGACCACTTGAAGCACGGTTTGCCTGTGTCCATGGTGTCAGTGTCCGGTAGGGTTGGTCCCCTGAGCACACATTTTATCCCCCAGGAGTGTATCAACTAGGCGAGCGCTTTCCAGCGAAGTCACAAAGGAGGTTTGTGTGACTGGTCAACAGAGAAGCGTCCACTGTGTGTTGTCATGGGTGGTGCCAATGAGGCAGATCCAGGATGGCAGAATAACAGGACTGTTAATTTGGACTCATCGGTGGCGTAGTGGTGAGCTGAGCAGCGTGGTGGTTTCATTCAGACACATAAAGATCAGGGTACATTTGGAGGGGCAGCAGTGGTCAGAAAATGTTGTCGAGTAAGACAAGGCCACTGGCTTTGGACACCACCAAGGTGGTTAAGTTCACATTTCCATTCACAGTAGGGGATGCTGCCTTCTTTTGTACCAACTGTGTCCAGTGTGCAAGGACTCTGCACACTGCGAATCTCAGCGAAGAGTCGGCTCTTCCCTCAGTCATCCTTTTTTCTTTTCCTTATAACCATATTTGTGAATTCTTTTGGTCACTTCTCCCACCTCTGCACAAGAAGCCATCATATAATTTGTGCCTAATGTTGTATGTTCGTAATAGAGCTCCATTCTGGTTTCTACGTGACATTTAGCCCTGTGGTTCAGTGTCATGATCCTGTGTTTCTTCTTTTCTAAATGTCTTTCTATAAGCTGTCGATACCTTGTCTTTCAACCTCTGGGAAAATAAGACTCAGCCTGGTTCTGTCTATATATTATATATATAAGACACAAACTCTTAAAAGTCAGATAACTTCTCAATTTTTACTCTTCACTTTTTTCATTCACAGCCAATGCCAATTGTGGTCATAGAGAAAGAAAAGAAATGGAGAGCTTAATAGAAAGCAACCATAATATTCACTGCGCTGGTAGAACATTTTAGGTCATGGTATTTACAGATATTTCTGATAAATACAGCTTAGGTAAGTAGCAAGCGAGCCAATTAAGACTATAGCTTTTAAGACTACATTTAGCTAATTCAATTTTAAGAGTTCCCAATTCACAGTACTCATAAGTGCACTCTCTAATGAGAGCAAATCATACGTCTGCAGAGATTGGCGAAGCCGTAACCTTTATTATCTTCTTGTATCCTGAACATGCATATATGAAATTTTTAAAATGTGATATGTGTTCATGTAGTGTGTACTTGTAGTGGTGTTTTCTGTCCTTATAAATATCTTATGAATCACTGTAGATGGTGAGTTTAGACTAGTGTAGTCTGGGTTTTTTTGTTTTTTTCTCTTACAGTAATAGGTAAATCTAAAATTGTTTCCTTTAGGGGAGACCATTTCAATCATTTTCTTATTTGTCTTCATATTACAGGGTCTCAGGCAAAGTTTTCAGTTCAAATCTTGTATATTGACGTGACATTTTCATCCTGTTCAACAGCAATGAAACCCAACAACAGACCTTAATGTAACATTTGTTTAAAAATGACTTCATTTGTTTAAAACAAAAAGTCTCAACTCATTTTACTGAGCTCTCCCTTTTTTAGGGCAAACATCATTACCTTTTGCCAACACCAATGTGAACTTCTAGTTTTCAAGAGCAGCCTGTGGAAACTTTTAGAGAAGGAAACAAAGATGGGTTTTGAGCTTTAGGCTTTCGTCTCTTTTGTCTGCAGTGCATGTTTGTCCTCCCCCCCTCCTCGATCTCCTTTTCCATCTAGTTCCCAAAGCTAGAACTTACTAGAACATATCTCAGAGGCTAAGCCCTTCCCCTAGACTTAGCTTTAGGAAGCTGAGCTGTGGCCTCACCTGTCCCAGTGTTTCCCATAGTCATCCGTTGGCCATTAACAATGGTTTCCCCAAGAAAGCCATATTGATGAGAAGCCCCCATTCCTGTAGCAGATTTCGCATAGTGGTACCAAAAATTAGTTTCTCCAGTTGGTCCCTGGTGCAGTGGGAGAGGCAAGGGACAACAACTTAGATTTGGAAATCATCTGCAGCCTTTCCAATTTGATGGTAGAAGGAACGAGTGGAAATCAATTAGCATTCTCTCATAGGACCTGTGTGTTTGTGTCAGGACGAATGATTTTTGGATTTTCTCTCTTGCTCCTTGGCTAAAAGTTGATTCTGATGCTGGATGCCAATCCACTTTCTGCTAATTACTGCTGTTGTGATTAAAAGAAGCGGGGAGAAAGCCCTGTGGAGGCTGCAAGATTTGTCTTGTCCAAACTGAAAGTTAACTTAATTGTGAGAAGGGGGACCCCCTCACCCTCAACTGTTTTGCAGTTGAGAGTAGTTGCATGGTGTTCATTGCAATCTGTCCAGTCAAGACACAGTAGCTGTTTCCTGAGCAGCTGGGTTTTCTGTCTCCTTTCCCCTACAATTTCCACGTTTCATATACCCATATACGTTACACTTTCCTCATAGGTAGAAGACTCTGAACTTATCTGGCAGCAGTTACATTGGCAAATGTAGTTTTGCCCATGTCTATAGTCATGTTCAACTTTGAGGCTTTCTTTGCCAGAGGTGGGTTCAGTGTCTGAGCTATTTCCAGTTATTGAGAATCTACCCGCTCTGCACCTCCCGGAGACTTGGCTGGGATGCTAAAAGTTGAGATGCATATGACCAGATGGATGTTTCTATGCTGTGTTAAAATGCACAGCCAATTGGAAGGAAAAAAAAGTGAATGAATAAAAAGAACATGAACAGCATTATCATAAACTGTCACTTGAGAGTCCCCCTTCAAACTGAGGAAAAAACTGAGTTGCTGAGAAAAGACTTTCATTGGTTCACTGTGTAGAATGTGGGGTATTTTCCATTGGGGAGATAATTTCCTAATAGCAACAAATGCCAGAAACCCATTCTGAGTTAAAAAAAAAAAGCCATATGTTAAAAACAGTAACTCTGTAATATCCTTAAAGGAGAAAAAAAATGTATATTTCTTAACTGTTGGTGTTGTGGCTTCTTGTGCAAATACTTGTCTTGCATATTAGTAACTTAATCTCTTTAGGGCCATGTGTTTGTCGTGTATAAATGTGTCCAATCTGGTCTTTTTTTAAAAAAAAAATTTCCCTTTGTATTTATTTATTGCATGAAATCCGGTCAATGCAAAATCTTGATGACCTCAACGTCTTTGAAATTTCTGATGTGTTTTTAATACGTAAGACATGTAATCAACTTGTATTTCAGTGAGTGGCACTTTAAAAAAGACATTTTAACACAACGACCTTTAAATGGATAAGACGGGGGTTGTCTTTGTGTTAATGTTGCATTGGAGCTGAGTTTTCCTTTAAGTTCTTATTCTGTTATCTACGTGTGCCTCAGTGCTTCCTGACAACCTTCACCTGTCAGCATGGTTATCCCATGCCTCAAATTAAGATTTTTCTTTCCTTTCTGTTCCCTTGGCCATCGGTCATTTTCCTCTTCCCAGAGACTTGCACAATAACAATTGCTTAATGTATGCGTGATGGCAAGGTCACAACACCGCTGCTGTTTTTGCACCTGGATCTGGGTTTTGACTTGCTTCTTGAAGGCAGATGACTCACGTGAAGGCTTGCTGCGTGGCAGGTTGTCTTGCAGGGAAAAAAGTTCAGGGTCAGTGAAGGAGCATTTCTTCTGTTTCGCACTGGGTATCATTGCAGAAAACGTCCAGGCTGGGTGCAGAGGTTTGGGTGATGTCATCCTAGCACTAATTTCTCCCCAAAGTGGCCCTAGGATCTGTAAAAGTGAAGCTTCCTATCTTTCCTAGATTTTGCTTCAACTGCACAGAAAGGCTGAGTAATGTTGAACCGTAGCCTCTGCTCAGTCACCTCAGAGCAGCCTGCAGCCAAAGAGAAAGTGTTTTCAGAGTGGGCATTGATCACCTCTGAAAAGCAAGCAGTGGTTTGATTTGCCTGCCATGAATTAAATACATCTTCAGGTAACCATTTGCCTTATAGGTGTATTTTATTGTTAGGGTGATACTTAGTAATTGACTAGGAATTGTTTTGTCTCTCATTTTTTTTGGTCTTTTTTTTTGCACTTTATTATGGACCTATCATTGGAATAGGTTTATTTTTAAATGGCATCTTTGGCTATTATCCTAAATGTAGGCATCTTATGTGGTATTGTTGCCTATGAATAAAGATATGTTCCCTAATCAGGTCCTTATATTTTTTCATTAACTGTACATGAAGAAAATATATTATGTTACAAATGATGCATCATATATATATTATAGAGTACATACTATATACTGTGCATTATTCATTTAAGAAGTCATTATTCTTGAGGCCCTACCTCAAATTTTGTATTTATGTGTACAAATGCAATTTATTGTATTATATATTTGCCTATTATATACTGACATAAATTAGAATTTATCCTTATAATGTATGAGTTCACAAAACCCTAAATAAACATCAGTGTTTAAAACATGATGATTTTGGTATTGTGTCCATTACCCACACTCTTCCTTTCTTAACAAATGCCCTTCAGGTGCCTGCAGGGCTGATCTATTTTTATTGGGAGAAACCTGGAACAAAAATGGAAAACTGCCCTCCTGGGTAAATGAGATTTGTGCTGATGTAGAAACAAATATCAATAGAATTGTTATATTCTTAACCATCAGAATATACTATTGTTTGCTGAATTATTAATTACTCCTGATGGGAAGGACAGAAAGGGAGGGAGAGAGTCTGAGTGAATCTGAATAGAGGGACTAGGCAAGTTAAATCCTTGAGTGTGTTGTAATAATCATATTGTCAGTCTTCAATTCCACTTTACTTCAGCAAACATTTACGTAGCTCCTGCATTGACTTAGGTCGCAGGCAAATCTGAATAAAAAATAAAACAGTCCCAAGTCTCAAGGAACTGAGAGCCTAGTAGTAAGACTAACTCCTATTAAACAAACATACAAACAAATCAATAAATGCCATTTCTCCCCTTGTAAGTAGATAGAGCCTCCAGGTTTCCTGCCCAGAGATGGGCCCTGAGCTCCAGTGTCAACATGTAGAGACTGGCAGTGTGCCCTTCCTGTCTGATCATGTCAACCCAGAAGGTTGCCTCTGTTCTCCTCAGATGAACAGCACACTCACGCCCCGTCTCCATCTTCCGTGCCCGTGTTGGCAGGTTACGTGGATGAGCTGGGCCACTCCTCCTGGGAAAAGACATGCCTTCAGCGGATGCTGGACCATGTGCCGAGTGCGTATGTATCCATCCTGTGGAAATGAGACTTGCACACACACTAAGGCTTGTCCATAACACTGAACTTCAGTGGGCAGACCGAGCAGCAACCAGCGAACTCAGCGTAACACCTTCCATTGAAAGGGGAAGAAAAGTGCTTCATGGGACCAAAATTTGGGGCTGGTTTGTTATCCTCGATTTCCTTCCTGAGATCCCTTCGCGCAGTTGTGTTTTCTTTTCACTTTCTATTTGGAAAATTCTCAAGCATATGTACAAGTGGAGAGTATAAAATAACTCCCGCATCCACATCACTGGGTTTCAACAATTATCAACTCATGTTTGTTTATTTCGTTTATCCCTCTCCCCATGCTGACCTGAAACTTTGTTTCTTTGGAGTATTTCAAAGTATTAATAGATCCCAGATACCAAAGAATTTCACTTGCAAATGTTCCATTGTGCTTTTTGCACCCTTTTTAAATAGTCCTTCCCTGTTTGGGGATGATGACAAAATGTAGGAAGCTTCAAGCTCACACATCCCAAGCAGAGCCAACCTATTCTGGGAAATTCACAGGGGGTACAAGAATCTGTCTGGGGGCCGGCCGAGTGGTGCGTTGGTTAAGAGCTGGCTTGGGATGCCAGAGGGCACCGGTTTGGATCCACATATGAGGGCCAGTGACACTGCCCTCCACAGCTAAGATGCTGAACAACAGCTCAACCTGGAGCTGGGCTGCCATGAGTCGCTGGCGACGGGTGTAGGCTGCAGCCCCTGTGGCAGTGGGTTGCCATGAGCTACCGTGTGTGGCCAGCAGCCGCAGTGAGCAGCCGTCCAGAAGCCGGCAAATGATGTGCCTGCCCAGGAAGAGCGCAATGATGGTGCCAACTTGGGCCAGTGAAGCAACGTCCTCCACAACTAGACTGAAGAACAAAAAAGGATAGCAACTTGTCTGTTCCCCTTCCCTCAATTCCCCAATAAAAATCTTAAAAAAAAAAAAAGAATCTGTCTGGAAGGAGCTAATGTGGTATTTACCCTGATAATTCTCCTGGTGTGCGCCATGCAATCTTTCATCTTGTTTCATTTGTTTGGCAACTATTCCTGTCCGACCCCCCGACTTTGTGGCTATTTCCTTACAGAGCTTATTCCTGCTGCCTTTGTTTTCTGTTTTCGTTCATGCTTCCTTCTTTCCAGATGTGCTTCCTGGAACCTGAGATTCAGAATATCACAGTTGCATTGAAGTCCAAGGTCATTTATTCCAGCCATCTCTCATACACCATTTCTTCTACAACAGACTGTTTTGTGGGAACTGGATTTGCAAAGAAATGCATGTGACATGAGTCATCACTGTCTAAGAGGTTCATCCTAGGGATTCTTTAGAACAGAAAACTCCTCCAGTTGCTTTTAAAACAGCTCAATTTTACAAAAATGATAAATTCACTTTTCTAATTTAAACATCCTACTCTGTGAAACAGACTGTGTGAGGTTTGGGCCACTCCTTTCTTGCCCTGTAGTGTAATCTGTAATTATATGAGAATTTTGATATTGCAAGCCATTTAACCTTGTCGTGCTCCCTTTTCCAAAAAACGTCTCCAGATACTTGTAGGATTAAGAGAAAACAATGACTGGAATATAGTGTGGATCCACACTGAAATAGAATCACATTTTCACCATTCATTGATCCATTCACTCATGTATTTATTCTTACACTATTCTCAGTGTCTTCGTTATTTGTTTCCAGTACCTAACAGTTTGTGACACATAGTAGTTACTCAAGAAATTGAATGATTGATTCTATTTTTAAACCGAATGAGCAACTATTGAGTGTTGGCCCTGTACAATGAGAGAGCTCAATGTTCTAATGCAAGAAAAACATGAGTGGGACTTAGGTTTCTCCCTCCAGGTTACTCGATGTGAGCAGGGTTTCAAGACAGGTGCACACATTGTCATAATACACAGTGGGGAGTACCACATGTCATAGGAGGACTTAGCACAAGAAGTACTGAGGGGATGCAGAAGAAGAAATCCTTCTGCCTGAAAGGATTAGGCAGGACTTTATGAGCTAGGGTCATGGGGAAGAGTTTGACAGTGCGGAGGATTTCAGGATGAGCTTTCCAGGTGGATGAAAGCATGTAAGTGATGGCATGGGGGTTAAGACAGACCATTTCAACAGAGAATGATGGATGAAATTGGAAAGGAGAGTATATGCTTGTGGGAAGTGAGAAGGAAGGCTGAAAAGTAGTTTAGGACTTCATAGTTGAGTGCTTTCAATGACAACATAAAGAGATCAAATGTTATCGGACATACCACAAGGAGCCAAAGAAGGTTACTGAACATTGGAGAGATATTTCCTGGGGGATTCAGCTAGGAGGCCGGAGACAAAGCTCTGTCCTGGGTTCAGGTGCCGGCTCCTTTCCTTAGTAACGTGCTCTCAGTCTTCTCATTTGTAAAACTGGAACAATCATACTCATCTCACAGAGTAGCTATGAGGATTACATTAAAATTTGTACATGAAAATGTAACACTGCAGATAAATGGTGGATATTTTATTGTTAGAGCCAGATCTGTGCATTTGGAATATCCACCTGGCCTTGGTGTCCGGGATGGATTGGAGTGCAGAGGGACTTGGGGTAAGAACGCTGGTTGGGTTGTGCAAGAAGCCAGCTTTTTCAAAATGCTAGAAGTGAGCTCCAGTACACCAGGTCATAAATCTAGAAATACAGGGGTCCTTTAGCAGGTAATCTCTTTGCTGACTCCTGTGATGGGGCCACTTGGGATTATATTTAAAATTTAAGCAATCAGCACAACACACAGGAGATGCCACCATCCAATATGAAAGGACATGGCAGTGAGTTGGAGCACGGTCCTGGGGACTCTTGTCCTGCCAGGGGCTGCCATGTTAGTTTCTGGAACTTGGCAAAGCCTCAGAGTCCAGAGGAGGTGCTGGGGCAGGTGGGGCCTTGGCGTGGGCTCAGGGGTCTCAGCCTGGATATTTTTATCCCATTAGTTGGTTCCTCCTGCCTTATCTCACTCAGAAAGTAGAGGCTGAGGGATTCTGCAGTTATTTCTGAGGGAGGCTCATTTGCATGATATGCCTGCAGACTGACTGCATCTCCATCCTGTGCTGGTGTCAGGGGGACATGCACAGGGAAAGCTTTGGGCCCTACTGTTAAGGATGCATGAGTTTGATCTTTCTTGGCTGAGGGTTTTGAGATAGACCATATTAAAAAAAAAATCACTCTGTTTCACCTGCTCAAATGTGGAGAGCACTGCTGGGCACAGGCCCATGCCATTCTCGATGTGCAATCCCTCTCTCTTCTTGCCTTCTTGTGAGTGCTTCATAATTCTGCACACCCTGTGTCTTGCTTGAGGTGAGGATAAGAATTACAATGAACTTGCATTAGGCCAGTATTATTATTTTGCAAAGTTGGTACCATGTGAGGGAGTGTGTTAGAGACTGTATTTCTGTTCCTCCCTTCCTTAGGAGCATCTCTAACTTTAACTCAGCTGATCACCTAGCCAAAATGTGACACTTCCCAGTTCCCTTGCAGCCAGGTATTAGATTGACAACACTTCCTTACCCCACTCCGAATCACTACCAGGATACATCCTCATTGTGGGTGGATTGTATTTCTTTCCCCTTGGCTTTAATAGCATGTGGGCAGAAGTGACAGTGTACCAGTTTTCAGTCCAGACCTTAGAGACCTAGACTATTTCCACCTGCTCGTGTGTGCCTCTTTGTGCCTTGAGAAGAACTTGTCCTATCTAGCCCACTGGTCCAAGAAAGATGAAAGACATGTGGTACAGGGTCACTCCCTGACATGCAGATCTGCTATGAGAAGTGGAAGCAGCCCAGCCACTATAGCCTGAAGCAGAAGTGCCAGGCTGAGGCCAGCCTGGGTGAGCTGATTCCTAGACAACAAGCAGTTATGTGAGAATAAATGCTTAGTGTTATACGCCTCTGAAATTTTGTGGTTGTTTGTTATGCAGCAATAGCTCACATACACAGGGAATGGCCATGTGACTAGGTTCTCCCAAAATGTAAGTGGAAGTGATGCATGGGACTTATACGCATGCTCTCCTTCTCTTCATTCTCTTCCATGCTTGTTGTCTGGAATGTGGATATAATGGCTGGAGTACCAGCAGCCATATTGAACCGTGAGGCCAATAACTACATTCTAGGGATGGTGAAACAGAGATCTGGCAGGAGCCTTGTTCCCTGAGGACTTCATAGAGCTACCAC